GAGTGTCAGGTAAAGCAACGAGCCATTGAGGTTTCTAGATATTCCCCTTGAGTTATTCACTTATTCTTTTCATTGTTCCAGAAGGATTTTCGGGTAACTGTGCCTACATGTCAAGGGCAAGTTCTAATGTCAGTCATAATGCTGTGAGGATGGCCTTTAAAAGCTAGACCATTCATTTACTCAGTAATTGATTGAATTACTGTTTATCATGTCCTAACTACATTCCAGACACTATGTGAATGGGTTATAATGATTTCATCCCAATACTAATGCACTTCACAGTCTGAAGGGGTGGTGCTAACCCAAAAATTCTTGCGATTAATACACATTTTTCAAATGGAGCTATAAATACGGAGGGACCAGACAGTGGTGCAGTGGTAAGATGTGACCCTCTGTGAGGCGATCCCATGTGAAAGGGTTCCTGGTTCAGGTACAGGGACTTCTCTGAGTATGCTGGGCACATGCATGCTTATGATCCAGGCTGACTGAAGGCTGAGAGAGGGTCATGGTATAAAGATCCTGAGGGGGGCGCTCTTTCTCTCTCTGTGTGTCATGGAAGAAGTAAGTAAAATAAACTGAAAAAACTTCAAACAACAGAACTGGATGTAGACTAGCTATTCCGAGGAAGCCGTATTTATCATGATTAGAGCAGCGTGAGAACAAATTGTGTGCCTATCTGAGTGTGCATGAAGTAGAGAGCATTATAGGCAGAACCCAGTGGCTGAAGAAAGTGTGGCTAAAAGACAGAGAGAAACAGTGGCGCCCCACGGGGCAAGTGGACCAGCCCAGACCACAAGGTTAACGATCTTATCAATTATTTTATTTTATTTTATTTTATTTTTTTGAGGAAAGCACCTGAGGAGTTATTGTTGGGTTTTTAGGCAGAAGGGACCTGACTAGAGTTGTGTTTTAAAATGATGATTCTGGCTTTGGGAGCAAAAGGGCTGTAGAGAGGCCCTAGAGGCAGCAGGAAAAGTCAAGTTCAGAACCTGAAAGCTGGTTAGCTGTGTATCCAACATTCCTTCCTCGTTGCCTCATTCCTGAATGTCGCCCACGTACGTATCAGTGGTCTCCTCCAGCTGGCACGTTCCTTGAGTTTAGGAATGCTGCCTTGTTTGCTCTTGGGTCTCCTGGAGTGTCTGACACTGGGATTTGCATGTAAGTATCTAAGCAATGCTATGTATACATTTTAAAGTTTATTCATTTCTTCCATGAATGAGACACAGAGTGTGAGAGAGAAAGAGAGAGAGACACAAAGAGAGGAAGTACCCTTCATGGGGTCCTTAGGTTGGAATTCATCCCTAGCTTCAGCCGTTCTCTGATCATGGGCAGGCACGTGCTGGTATATTCAGGGAGGTCTCCAGACACAAACCTGGAAACCCTCCCCTGTGCGTCAGCCTTGCAGAGCTTCGTGTTTCATTACTGAGCAACTGTCTGGCCCTGAAGAATTGCTGTATTTAAATGATGGACTCTCTTCCACATCATGAGATATGATAGTAGGATTAAAAGACCACCATGCTGGGCTAGCAGATGGCTTGGTGATTGAGGCACTGGATTCCCACACAGCTGACCATGGTTTGAGTCCTGGACCTGGAGGCTTGTTTTTTCACCTTCTCTCTCTCTAGTCACATTAAAAATAAATAAATAAATAAACAAACAAACAAATAAATAAATAAAATAATTCTTGGGGAAAAGAAACCCACAGTGCTTTATATTCTGTTGATAGTGTCATATAGTGATATAAATTATTGCTGAAGACAGAGAAAGATCTATCTATCTGATCTATCTATCTATCTATCTATCTAGATATATATAATGATATATATATATATGATATGGGTTGGCCATGCTGCAATCTCTTCTCCTCCACTCTCCTCCAGTCTCCTCTTGGGATTTTGGGCACACATGCACATGTGCCTGGTGTGTTTTTTAGGCCACTGGGCCCAGGACTTGAACTGTGGATTAGGCTATGGGAGATCCAGCACCTTAACCACCATGACACCTGCTGGCCTGGACAGAGGAAGATAAAGATGCAGTTGTCTTTTCTTTTGCTAAGTCATATGTGCCTTGTGTTTTATTTCCACAAATTGATATCTTCAGTATAACAGCCTTGGCTGTGCTGTCATCATGTCAACCTAAAGCACCATAATCGTCATCATTATTACTATCTCCTCACAAATATAATAGACACCTTGGGCGAGATTTCTTCTGAGAGCAATTTCTTGCAAAATGGAAGATGAGAAGCCCTATTGGAAATTTCTCAGTCTGATTATCAGGAATTGCAAACGTGACTGAGTTAAGAAGCAATAGGGAGTGCTGCTGCCTGTGGCAGAACTGGGAGAATGTGCTTTATCCCAAAGCATTCGAATGCAAAGAGCATATACTGTGGCAGCCAAATAAAACATCAGAGGGCCAACTTTGGCTATGTGAGTCTGAGCTTATGTTTTTTCCTTTAAATGATTAAAAAAAATTAAGCTCAGAAGTAGTACAAATATTTCAGTGTGCTCATCTACTTTTATGGGTTGTGGGCCAAGGTGTGTTGTGGTAAAGGATTGTGCCCCAAATGCCTTCTACGGTGCAATCTTCTCAAATAGCTTTTCGAAGTTGGCTCCCAATATTCTATGGCTTCTTGATCGCTATTATTATTATTGTTATTATCAGTTTGTCAGAGGGCGCATGTGCTTGTCAGTGAAAGAGAGGGGGGCGTGACAAAGTACCCTCCATGGAGTCCCTTCTCCACCATTTCTCTTTTCAGGATTTTGGACACACAGGCATACGTGTCTGGCATGTTGATGAAAACATCAAGCAATGTTTTCATGGCTTGTAAAACCACACGGTAGGTTATGTGGGATCCAGCCATCTTAACCACATTCCATGGGCTGGATCCCACATAACCTACCTTTTGTTTTTTGAAAGTAAAGGACTGCTGAATTTCTCTTATACCTAACTCAAATCAATATATCCAATAAGGGGAGGTATGAATGTGTGAGTTTAAGAGAAATGAAGAAGGTTACGATTACTCTTGAAATCAGAAGCAAAGAGAATGTTCCTTCTCATACCATCTGGGCAAGTCCCTAGGGGATAGTTTAATTAGAGACTCTCCCTTAAAGTAAGAAATGGGGAGTGAGGGGGTATAAATAGCACTGATCCTATTTCCTCCTGATCCTTAGATTAAGATTAGCATTAACTCAAACTGAGAGGTCAGACAAGGACATGATGTTTTGGGGCTGCTAGTCACCTGAATCGTATACTCAGGAATCCATGCAAAGACTATCTAGATAACATACATATAGGAGAAAAAGAATTCCAGCGTCTGTTCTTATACAGTAACGAGCAGTCCTTGTGATGTTGTAAACGGGAGATTCCTTTCCACTTCAGAAACTGGGCCTTGGTATAGATGCTAAGTGGAAAGAAACAGAAAAATAGGATTAATTAAGATGACTGTGCCTTGGGGACATTAGGTGGTATGGTGGTTAAGGCACTGGACTTCCACATGGCTGATGGCGGTTCGAGTTCCAGACCTGGAGGATTACTTTCTCACTTTCCCCCTCTCTCTCTGTCTTGTTTCTGTTGAGCACATTTGCCATATAGCAAATTAAAACAAATAGTAATCATAACAAATAAAATTCAGTAAAATAAAGCTAAAAGTACATAAAGATAATTTTGCTTCTGTGTGCCACAATTTCATTTCTTCACCTAAATGCAGTGGAGAGTTAAAGAAATGGGCAACAATGATTCATATTTGATATCTGAGCCCTTCGGCAAAACTTACCTTCTTTGGGCTGTATATGTGCCATAAGTATAATAAAAATATCTGTCTTCCACATTTTAGCAGGCCGTTGTAAAGAGAAAATTGGGTTATTTGTGGCAAAGCACCTCACAATGACAAGATAATGTGATATAATAATAATAGTATTAAAATAATTATAGCAAACACATAGTACTTGTTATCTGCCAGGCACCGTTCTAAGCATTTACATTCATTATTTTACTTAGTTATTATAATAATCTTCCTCATGGCATAGAATCTACTGTTAACTCTATTTTTTTTTGGTGGGGAAGCAGAGCTACAGAGAACTGAGTTGCTCCAGGCCAGCCAGTAAGAATTGGTGCTAGGTTTTGTCCCATGTAGTCTGGCTTCTATAAATTTCTATGGTTCAGAAATAAAAGCCATAAACAAAAACAAAATATAGACTTGTAACTAAACTGGAAGACCAATATTTGAATCCTGGTATCTCAAGTTGAATAACTATGGTCAGGACCCTTTAAAAGTCTGAACTTCAGTTTGCTTATCTATAAAATGGAGATGAATAATAATACTTACTTTTAGATGTTTGATGAAGATCAAGTAAGCAAACATGCAAATCATAGTGCATAACTAATAGGAGGCAGATAATGTCTATTAGTTGTTGGGAGAGGGGTGGTGTATTAGTTGTTTGGACTGCTATAATGAAATACCACTTACTAGGCGGCTTAAGCAACAGAAATTTTTCTCACAGTTCTGGAGGCCAAGAATTCCAAGATCAAACCAGTCTTGTCAGCAGGATTGGTTTCTGCTGAGGCCTTTCTTCCTGGCTTTCAAGCAGCAGCTTTCTCACTGTCTTCCATGTGGTAGAGAGAGAGAGAGAGATCTCTGGTATCTCTTCCTCTGCTTATAAGAACTCCAGTCCTATTGGATAAGGGCCCCATCCTCATAGCCTCATTTAATCTTACTTATGTCCTTAAGACAGTCACATCGGCCTTCAATATACGACTGTGAATGAACGCGACTCAGTCCATAACTGGTGGCTAGCTGGGGAGAGAGGAATAGAAAGATAGAAGGGGTGTTTGGAGTACTTTCATATGTAAGGTGGGTTTCTTAGGCATGACTTCTAGAGGGGAAAATGATCAGCTACTCATAATAAATTAGTAGATGTACAATATCTTTACCATTGTATGTCATCTGGCTTCCTTTCGCATTATAGAGAATGTCTCCATACTCTCTATTTCTGGTTTTCCAGGTGAGCCTGAATTTAAATATATTGGGAATATGCATGGTAATGAGGCTGTTGGGCGAGAGCTGCTCATTTTCTTGGCTCAGTACCTATGCAATGAGTACCAGAAAGGGAACGAGACAATCGTCAACCTGATCCACAACACCCGAATTCACATCATGCCTTCCCTGAACCCTGATGGCTTCGAGAAGGCAGCATCTCAGGTGAGTGCAAGGCATACTTCCTTCATTTTTTGTATATTTGTACATACGTGCTTATCTATAAATACAAAGTTTATAGATTGTGCAATGGAGAGTGTAAGTGATACATCGCTCATTTTGCTGGTAAGAAGAGAGCTTAGAATATGAGGGGTGAAGGATGAGTTTCTTCAGTAGAGATTGTGGATGAAAAGTTTTGTTAGTAATTTAATACATTGTGTTTTCTTGTGTTGTTAAATAAATCATATTCATTCGTCCATGTTTGTTGCTAGGTGAATTTCCTTCTAAATACCTACATATTGGAAAATATCTACTGCCATGTATTGAAGGATAATGCCGTGTCTGTATTTGGATGAGTTGGTGTCATAGCGCCCTCTATTGATTTCAAGAGAGAAAGGCTTTTGGACAAATCACTATTTCACTGTTTAATCCTTGCTTTTGTGTATAATGAGCAAAGTTAAAAACAAAACATAAACAATCATACCTTTAAACTAGTTGAAGACTAATGACTATTTAATAGAAGGTATATTGTTTATGTTTGTTTTCTTTGCTTAGGCATTGGTGGGGGACATTATATTTACTGTTTTCCACAGTTTGAAATTATTATTTTATTTTATTTTATGGGAATGCATTAAAGTAAATTTTACTATGTTTTTCCTTAAATTAAGAAAACCTAATGATCTGATAATTTGACATTGCAAGAAAGCCAGACAGTGAATTTCTAGCAATAAAGTATGATATATTTCTAAAGTTATGAGAGAATAATTCTAATAATATATAAAATTATGTAATATTTTACGGTTATATTCAGAACTGTAAAACAGAAGAGCAAAAGATGATCATTGCTGTGTTCTTATTCCACAGATTTTTTTTTTCTCACAGTCTCAGGTTTTTAAGCTTACATTGACTTTAAAAATATGGAAACCATGTCTGTGCCATAGATCTGATAAAATTTCATAGTAAGGGGACCAGCAGATGGTGTAATGGTTATGTTGCTGGACTCCCATGTAGTCAACCACAGTTAGAGTCCTGGACACAGAGGCTTAAAACTCACACTGAGTGCATGTGTGTGTATGTGTGCACGCATGTGCCCTAATTCCTGAGAAAATGGAGGAGAAGGGATTGTGAGGTGGCCATTCCTCCAGGGGATGATTTCTCATTTTCTGACTCTGTCTCTGTCTCTCTGGCAAGTACATGTGCCCTATAGCAAGAATCTTTCTTAAAACAAACAAACAAAACAAAAATTTTGTAGTAAGACAAGAAAATTCATATTGTAAAATAAAATGGATTATTTTGGAAATTCATTAATTTTTCCAGTTGTACCATTAGTGAAGGGCTCAAATTGAAAAGGAATTCTTCAGATCACAAAGTCTTTTGCTCTAGTGATCACTCTTTTTAAATGAAGACTAGAAGAGGGAGGTATAGTTTAACATATAAATAACTTTTGCTAACCTCATACTTACTTTTAGATGTTTGATGAAGATCAAGTAAGCAAACATGCAAATCATAGTGCATAACTAATAGGAGGCAGATAATGTCTATTAGTTGTTGGGAGAGGGGTGGTGTATTAGTTGTTTGGACTGCTATAATGAAATACCACTTACTAGGCGGCTTAAGCAACAGAAATTTTTCTCACAGTTCTGGAGGCCAAGAATTCCAAGATCAAACCAGTCTTGTCAGCAGGATTGGTTTCTGCTGAGGCCTTTCTTCCTGGCTTTCAAGCAGCAGCTTTCTCACTGTCTTCCATGTGGTAGAGAGAGAGAGAGAGATCTCTGGTATCTCTTCCTCTGCTTATAAGAACTCCAGTCCTATTGGATAAGGGCCCCATCCTCATAGCCTCATTTAATCTTACTTATGTCCTTAAGACAGTCACATCGGCCTTCAATATACGACTGTGAATGAACGCGACTCAGTCCATAACTGGTGGCTAGCTGGGGAGAGAGGAATAGAAAGATAGAAGGGGTGTTTGGAGTACTTTCATATGTAAGGTGGGTTTCTTAGGCATGACTTCTAGAGGGGAAAATGATCAGCTACTCATAATAAATTAGTAGATGTACAATATCTTTACCATTGTATGTCATCTGGCTTCCTTTCGCATTATAGAGAATGTCTCCATACTCTCTATTTCTGGTTTTCCAGGTGAGCCTGAATTTAAATATATTGGGAATATGCATGGTAATGAGGCTGTTGGGCGAGAGCTGCTCATTTTCTTGGCTCAGTACCTATGCAATGAGTACCAGAAAGGGAACGAGACAATCGTCAACCTGATCCACAACACCCGAATTCACATCATGCCTTCCCTGAACCCTGATGGCTTCGAGAAGGCAGCATCTCAGGTGAGTGCAAGGCATACTTCCTTCATTTTTTGTATATTTGTACATACGTGCTTATCTATAAATACAAAGTTTATAGATTGTGCAATGGAGAGTGTAAGTGATACATCGCTCATTTTGCTGGTAAGAAGAGAGCTTAGAATATGAGGGGTGAAGGATGAGTTTCTTCAGTAGAGATTGTGGATGAAAAGTTTTGTTAGTAATTTAATACATTGTGTTTTCTTGTGTTGTTAAATAAATCATATTCATTCGTCCATGTTTGTTGCTAGGTGAATTTCCTTCTAAATACCTACATATTGGAAAATATCTACTGCCATGTATTGAAGGATAATGCCGTGTCTGTATTTGGATGAGTTGGTGTCATAGCGCCCTCTATTGATTTCAAGAGAGAAAGGCTTTTGGACAAATCACTATTTCACTGTTTAATCCTTGCTTTTGTGTATAATGAGCAAAGTTAAAAACAAAACATAAACAATCATACCTTTAAACTAGTTGAAGACTAATGACTATTTAATAGAAGGTATATTGTTTATGTTTGTTTTCTTTGCTTAGGCATTGGTGGGGGACATTATATTTACTGTTTTCCACAGTTTGAAATTATTATTTTATTTTATTTTATGGGAATGCATTAAAGTAAATTTTACTATGTTTTTCCTTAAATTAAGAAAACCTAATGATCTGATAATTTGACATTGCAAGAAAGCCAGACAGTGAATTTCTAGCAATAAAGTATGATATATTTCTAAAGTTATGAGAGAATAATTCTAATAATATATAAAATTATGTAATATTTTACGGTTATATTCAGAACTGTAAAACAGAAGAGCAAAAGATGATCATTGCTGTGTTCTTATTCCACAGATTTTTTTTTTCTCACAGTCTCAGGTTTTTAAGCTTACATTGACTTTAAAAATATGGAAACCATGTCTGTGCCATAGATCTGATAAAATTTCATAGTAAGGGGACCAGCAGATGGTGTAATGGTTATGTTGCTGGACTCCCATGTAGTCAACCACAGTTAGAGTCCTGGACACAGAGGCTTAAAACTCACACTGAGTGCATGTGTGTGTATGTGTGCACGCATGTGCCCTAATTCCTGAGAAAATGGAGGAGAAGGGATTGTGAGGTGGCCATTCCTCCAGGGGATGATTTCTCATTTTCTGACTCTGTCTCTGTCTCTCTGGCAAGTACATGTGCCCTATAGCAAGAATCTTTCTTAAAACAAACAAACAAAACAAAAATTTTGTAGTAAGACAAGAAAATTCATATTGTAAAATAAAATGGATTATTTTGGAAATTCATTAATTTTTCCAGTTGTACCATTAGTGAAGGGCTCAAATTGAAAAGGAATTCTTCAGATCACAAAGTCTTTTGCTCTAGTGATCACTCTTTTTAAATGAAGACTAGAAGAGGGAGGTATAGTTTAACATATAAATAACTTTTGCTAACCTCATACATATTTCTAATCTTATTTAGTTCTTTCCTCTTTGTATATTTAAAAAATATCATTATATACAGAGGCAATGAATAGTACTAACAGCTAATTATAGAATGCTATACTTTGAAACAGGTCACCTATTATTAGTGAATTTATATTGACTTTTTTTGCAATTTGATGATAAATATCTCTTCACTATTATTACTAACATTTATAATATTACTCATTGAAAATATTTTCAAAATACCCATCACAAATATTTTAAACATGATAGCATCAAGCTTATATCAGAAAAACAGTGAAAATGCTATTGTGGGCGGATATTGTTGAAATAAATATATAATCTTAGTAGATTATTTTGTTTTCAAAATAATTCTTTATTTAATTTAATTTTTTTTTTATTCTTCAATTTGACCAGAGAGGGACAGAGAGAGAGAGAGAAAGAGACAGAGAAAATAAATACATAAAAAGAGAGAGAGAGAGAGGGAGAGTGATAAGGCAAGCCTCCATGTCTGGACTCAAACTGTGGTCGGCCATATTGGAGTCCAGCATCTTAACCACCATGCTACCTGCTGGCCCCAGTAAATTATTTTCAAAAGGTTTAAGAGACCTTCAGTTGATAATAACAACAATAGTAATAAAACACTGATTATTTTTCTCTTTGATTTTACTTTTAGCCTGGTGAGCTCAAGGATTGGTTTGTAGGTCGAAGCAATGCCCAGGGAATAGATCTGAACCGGAACTTTCCAGACCTGGACAGAATAGTTTATGTTAATGAAAAAGAAGGTGGTCCAAATAACCATCTGCTGAAAAATCTGAAGAAAATTGTGGATCAAAACACAAAGGTAGAGTATATATTGTTTTCTTGGGTTCTGTCCTCTAGCCTAAGGAATTGCATTCCAATATCTTGAAAGTCGTGAGGTAAAAGCTTGTACTTTGGGAACATTTAGGATACGTATGGGATAGTTAACTGTAACAACAAGAGGCACAGTTGGAAGGGTCAGAGCTTTGACATTAGTTTGCCCCCTAGTGTTGGCCAGGGAGGTGTAAAGTGGGAGCTGGGAGTCGGGTCTGTGGGGGAAGCTCTGTTGTGGTTATCTTAGAAATTCACCATGGCCCCTTCCGAGGACTTTCATCAGCTCATCTGGTCAACTCCTCCTGCAGCATTTCACGCTGTTGATCTTTCTGTTCTTTTCCAGAATTTTCTCCTTTCTTTTCACAACTCTATTCTTTTCTACCTCTTCTACTCCTTTTCCAGGCACTACTTGTTTCTCTCTCTGATTCTTCTACCTTGTTCTCAATCCTTGCTCTCTTCAATATCCCACAGGTATTGTTATTTGCATCCTTAAGTTTCTATCCTTACCTACACTGTCCATGTCATCTAGTATGCAAGATCTCCCAGATCTGTATCCTTAACTTCAGACTTCCCATGGAGCTCTACTTCTGTTTGACTTGCTCACTGGACAGGAGGCGCTCAGCCTGTCCCCAAATATTTTCATTAGAAACAATATTTTTTGATTTATCTTGATTATCAAAGCCTTTGATTTTTACGTTGTTGTCACTAGCTCGCCAGCAGTTAGTTACCACATCTAGGTAATTTGATCTTCCTAATACCTCTTCAGTCTTCCCTTTCTTGGAAAACTCATTCCAGGCCTCTCCCCACTTCTTTCAGTTTTCTCGAATTCCTCCAGAATGATATTTCTTCACTCACAAATTTTTGTTCTTATGCTTTAAAAACCCTGCCAGGTCTTCATTATGTAGAAGATAAAGTAACAACTCAGGATGACAGGATCATGTGATGGCTAAGCATGGAGACTCTAGAAGCAGCCTCCTTGGGTCAAATCCTGGCTCCATAATTGTGTGAACTTTGGAAAGTTAGTTACCCTCTCTGTGCTCAGCTGCTGCCTTAGGGTGTGTGTATGTTCACTGGAGAGAGAGAGACAGAGACAGTGAGAGGAAAAGTAAGAAATCACTCCCTAGGAGAGATGGCCATGCTGCAATCCCTTCTCCTCCTGGGATCTTGGGCATGCATGTGTACCCATCGTGAGTTTCAAGCCATTGGGTCCAGGTAGGCCGTTTGTGAATCCAGCAACATAACCACTATAACATCTGCTGGCCCCTGTGCTCAGCTTCTTTATCTGAAATATGGAGATAATATATCTACCTGAGGATGATTATAAAGGTCGAATGATATATCTATCTATCTATATCTAGATATATCTATCTATCTATATCTATCTATCTATCTATCTATCTATCTATCTATCTATCTATCTATATATATTCACATGCACACATATATAGTTAATATATATTATATATATGAGTTTATATTATGTATAAATGTGTGTGTCTGTGTGTGTTATTGATTTTTTTCCTTTTTGCTTGAGTCGGGACCTAGAACTATTTTTACTCTTTTGGTGTAATTTCTTAGTACTCCCTGTTACAGAAGCTCAGGGTTCAATGGCTACATTTACATATCCACTAAACATTTGGTGGGCCTTGAAACCAATATTGTTTTCAATTACTTGGAAGAGAAATTGAACCTATCATGTGTGAAAGGTGAAGAAGACCTGCTGTTGACCTTTCTTAGTTTATTCTCTATTATTCCAGGCAGCTCTACTCTGGTATATCAATGACTTCTACAGGTTGAGCACCCCTAATTTGAAAATCCAAATCAGGAAGTTCCAAAATCTAAAAGTTTTGCGTGCTTACCATAAGTGGAAAATTCTACACCAGATCTAATGCGATTGGTCACAGTCAAAACACTGCAATACAAAAATATCATATAAAACTACTTCAGGCTATGTGTATAGGGGTATATGAGACAGAGACAAATTTGTGTTTAGACTTGGGTCCCCTTCCTAAGATATTTCATTATGTATATGCAAATATTTTAAAATATGAAAAAATTAGGAATCCAAAACATCCCTAACATTTTAGATAAGGAATATTCAAGTTGTAGTACCTTTCTAAACTGAGAGACTGGAAAGAAAAATTTCATTTTCATTATGGTTCCAGGGTCATATAAGTGTCCATTGGCTCCTAGAAGCTGTGGGCAGGCCCATTCCTTAATCTGTTTCTGATATCCCATATATTCTAGTCACATCCATTCCTTTTTGATTCCCAAATGTAACATTTTCTAATAATTCTATATCTTCATGTAAGTTGGAGTTGCTATTCTATCTGAAATGCTTCTCACTTTTTTTCAGTGTCACTTCCTCTGAAATCTTTCTCTGCTCTTCCAAACAGATCCTGTTAAGCTTTCCTTTGTGTTATTGTTACATAGAGCTTTGTATATAAGAAGTCTTTGAAAAGTTCACAGAGAAATTTGTATCATGAAAACTACATGCACCGCCTTCAAAAAAGATGTTTGCACCAGATTAAACTCATACTTTGTTTCCATTTTTAGTGGACATTTTGCAGTTTCCTTGTATGTTATATTAAATTAATTATTGGTCTATATAGTTGTTTTCTCTTTGATTCTAGATTTGATCCTTTGATTGCAGGAATTAGAATTCATAGTTGAATCTGATATATAGTAGGCTGAGGACCTATTGTGCATAAATACAATCCAGTTCAGCAAGCAGGTAAATCAAAATATCTGAAAAATGTATCCATTGAAAATCAACAGCTAGAATTCCAGACAAGCATCATCAAGTAGCTGAGACAATGGGTAGAGGATCCAAGAGAAAGGGAGTTCTAGATTTTTGGCCTAAGGCTCTTAAAACTCTCTGCCTGAGGGCAGAACTCATTTGGGAAATGTAGACTGGGCCTGCAGTAGGAGCTGGTCTGAGCCTTTGGGCTGCCCAGAATTCTGGAAAAACTTGGTAAGTGAGTGGCTTAAACTTTCCTCCTTCTGAGGCACAGATAATACAAGGGATCTTCAAAAAGTTAAATGAGAATGCATATTATGAAAAAGCTATGTATGTATTTCAAAACATTTTAGATCGAATAAATTCATACTTTCACTCCATTTTCTCTCAGTTTTTTAAAGTCCCTTGCTATGTGCAGTTTCTCATCCTGAAAACCATATGTCACAGAAAAAGAGATAACCGAAGAGGCAGAGGGCTAGGGTAACTAGAGGAAGAAAGAGGGTGGGCCATGTGATAAGCTATGAGAACTAAGACAAGAGTCAAAAACTGTTCTGGAAGCTGGGTGCTGATATTAGTCCACAGACTTTCCCCATTTCTTGTATTTACCTGCCTAGGCTGTCTGGGTTAAATCTGAGAAGTGAGGAAAATAATCCCTGCTGCCCATCACAGAGGAATTGTGAAATAAGCTCATGCTGGTATTTGATTGGCCACTTTGTGCAAATGCCGTTGTTTCC